TTCTGGTTTGGGGCATATGCTATATTAACAGTAACACACTGGAGTGAAAAAAAGCAGAGTCAGGTGCTCTTGTTTATTAGAGTCAGTTTTAGCAGTTTGTATCACATCTGCATTTACCATGCACAGCTGCAGAGGAGCCAGGATTCCCAGTTGACCAGGTGTTCTGTTGCCCTTCCATACTGCCAATGTTCTTCAGTTGTACAAGGAACTGAAATAAGGAGATTTCAGCAGTTGAGCAAGGCCTTTGGCATTTAGACTTTTAATTCAAATCAGTGATGTGAGTGACCTGTGTATTTTTTGAATGAGTGTGAAGTTTGACTGCTCACATCAATTAATCCAAAGAAAAAACAGTAAAAAAAGAATAAAGCATTAGCAAAAAGATGTAAAATCTCTCTACTGAAAATGGATGAAATTATTCAGTGGATTAAAAAAGTGTTTTTTGTTTGTTGTTAATATGTATCACAGAATCACAGAATTGCAGAGATTGGAAGAGACCTTAAGAGAACACTGAGTCCGACTCCTCTGCTAAAGCAGGTGCCCTGCAATAGGTCACACGGGTAGGTGTCCAGACAGGTCTTGAATATCTCCATAGAAGGAGACTCCACAGTCTCTCTGGGGTGCCTGTTCCAGTGCTTCTTATGTTCAAATTTTAGGCTTTTTGTCCTATCACTACAAAGCACTGAGAAGAGCCTGGCCTCATCCATTTTCCTCCCGCCTCTCTTTAGATATTTATAAACATTAATCAGATGCCCTCTCAATCTTCTTTTCCTTAGGCTGAACAGTCCCAGGTTCCTCAGCCTTTCCTCATACAGGAGATGCTCCAGGCCCTTTATCATCTCTGTGGCCCCCTGCTGGATTCCTTCTAGGAGTTCCCTGTCTTTTTTGAACCAAGTAGCCCAGAACTGGACACAGTATTTTAAGTGTGGCCTCATCAGGGCAGAGTAGAGGGGGAGAATCACTTCCCTCAACCTGCCAGCCATGCTCTTTTTAGTGTGCTCTCTTTTTAATACTATATATATGTATATATACACAGACATATGCTTAGTATCACTGCAACAGTTCCATCCACAGTGAAAACAGAGTTCTTGCTTTCTGCCTGTAAATAGTTAATTGCATAGACTTCTGTGCTTTTTCTTATTATTTATTGTCACCGCATGCTCACAAGATCATTCTTCATTTCTAATCTTTAAGATGATATCTGTAGTGTCAAGTTCATACTGGTGTTTAAGGGAAAATTTTAATACATCTTTAGTGGAAAACTAAAAACTACTGCCTTTCTGTTTCAGTGCGTAGCTCTCGGATGAATAAATTTTTGGCAAAACTCTTAGCTCTCCTTTCCAGTCAATGAACATATGCGTGGATGAGGAATTTTCTGAGTTACAAGCATAGAAAATGCTGACAGCTTGGCAGCAGCTTTGACTTTTTCAATAAAATGATAACTGCTTTTTTTTTCTGTTCCAGGAAGCAGGTTGTAAAACACTCTTTGAATACTGTATCTAAAAATCCTAGGAGCTCTAACTTTCCTTTTGTTTAGTATAAAGTAGCTAATAAATGTGATAAAGGAATTATAAGCTCACAGGATGTGTTGTTAGTCTTATATCAAACTGGGTGGGTTCTTACTAGACTCAAATCAATCAAAACTCAGAGATGGCATAGTTTGGGGAAGCTGAAAAAAAAACAGTGTAAGCTCAGTGATATCTGTGTAAATAAAGAGGGGGATGTATTGTACTCAATGGAGGATATAAAGGGTGAAATAGATTTTCACCTGATGTGGGCACCTACTTAGAATCATCTGAGTTAAATGGTTTTTTTTTTTTGGTTTTTTTTTCTTTGCTGATTGATTATAGAGAAAGCTACCTTTGACCATTGTCCAAGTTTTAGATGACTTAACATTGATCAGATTGAATCTCGTTATTTTTCTTCCAATTTTTTGGTTAAAAAAAGGAAAATTGATGAGATCTGGGGTGTGATCTTGTGCCAAGATTCTGGTGTCTGACAGTTTGGGAAAAGCTGTTTCATTCTACTGTTTATGTGAGGCTTGTAGTAGCACGGTAGTGGATTATTGGTGGTGTAGTAATGAAATACTTAACTCTTACGTAATTCTGGTTTATATTTTTGGAGGTTGTTAGTTTGCATATTTATGAGTGTTAGATGTTTTGTTGTGAAGAATATGTAAGTCCTTACATTTAAGGTACACTAAAGTAACAAAATTATTTTTTCTAGGAATGCGAAGTGTGTAGAATTTGCCTCAGCTGACTACAATGCAATACTTTGCACGTAACACATAACTAGAGCGCATCTAACATACAGTATGCTCTTGAATTTCAATTCTGTTCAATAACAGCCCAGACCTGAAATATTTAATATCTGCTCTCAACAGAGATAGAAACGAACCTAGAAAAAGTACCATATGAAACCCTCTGATAAACTGTTGTGCTGCGAAGTTACAATTGCTTGAATTATTTCTGGATGTTCTATTTGCTTACTCTTACACAATTTTTCCACTTTGTAATCTGCTATATTGGTAAAATATTTTTGAAGTATATTCATTTTTAGCTCTTACAAAGTAACGCCAGGCTACAGTGTAAAATATTTATAGTTTTATGTCAGATGGGCTATCAAACTCAGGGAAAACAAAAAATAAAAAACAAATGAACCAAACATTTTTATGGCTTGCTTAACTCTGAAGTTGAGTGAAAACCAGAATGCTGACTCTGCTGACTCTTTTACATAGGTACGTATATGTGTGTGTTTCGATAAGAAAGAGAACAAAAAGGCAGTTTTTATTAGGCTTTTTTAAAAGCATAGCTCTAATGTAGATGCCACTCTTTGTACTTAATGGAAATGATGAACTTTAAAGAAGATTTATGTCCTTTAATGAGCGTATTGCTTCATTTGAAATGTATGAAGTATAATATGCTTTGTTCCATGCATAGATAATGTAATACTGTTATGCTAGTTCTCTTTAATTAAAAAGATTGTTATTTTTCAGTGTATTCTTATGTAATGTAAGTATTTTCTGTGTGATCTGAACATATATAACAAAAATATTAGAATGTATGGACTAGAATGTAGTAGTCAGTCTATTGTTCTTAACTACTTATCCAACAGGAGACAGAGCTGAAAATGGGAGGTATCTATCAGAAAAAATTACTACTATCAGCAGAGCCACAGCTAAGTGTTTCATGTTCTTATGTGTAAACTCAGCTTAGACCAAACATCAAGCTGTGTTCTATATTAGTTTATCCTGACTTTATTGTTGTCAGCATTATCTGACTGAAACCTCCTGGTGGATGAAAGATTTTCTGAGTTGGTTTGTGGCCTGGCATAGCTCTGTGGTTTGAACTCTCTTTCTGGGCACTTTGTTATCAAAGTTCCTAGAAGGTGTCAGCGAAGAGCTGAGAACGCTCTTCTGGACTCTGTGCACAGCATAGATGCACACTGATGGAACACGTTAGGCATATGTTCTTCTACTGCCATGCTGTACATTCGTTAAGTTTTTAATACATTTCAATACATCTCTTTCTTAGAATTAAACATTTACAAAGGTTAGTGTAAATAAATAAATGTGATGTCTCATTTTAGGCAGCTATCTTTTCTTGGCTCTCGAAACACTGTACGGGTGGTTTGTGCTTGCTTTTTCTGGAGTTTCACAATTCATATTTGTCACAAATGTGAGAGACAGCTGTGTTTTCCCTCAAATTCAGCATTATCCATTTCCCAAACCTCTTACCTCCCTACCTCTTTTATTTTCTTTTTAAATATAAAGGAGGGGAAAATAGATCTGTAAAGCTTTCAAGCTCATTCATGCTTGGCAAGTTTCTCATAGGAGACAGGAGAACACTTTATGCTTCCGTATGCTTCTTGCACTCCTCAATAGCATTCATATGGACTGAATTATGATCCATTCCTTAATGTAATAAATAACATTGATAGTATATATATTTTACTTGTGCATGCAAATCTGAATAGCACTGGCAATCTTTGCCAATTGGACTAGAAAGTACGAATGTATATATTCAGACTTAAGAAATTATATGTATTGAAAGGAATATAAAATCTAAACCACGTATAAAAGACATGAGAATTCTAGCTATTTCTTCTATTTGTGACTGGACATATCTGCTGCTAAGATTTTCACTGCAAACCAGATTGACTTATATTAAATGATTTTTGGGAATAAAATCAACATGAATGACAAAAAAAACCACATGATTTTGCTTTTTAAATGTTCGTATCTAAGGCAGACACTAGCCTACAATTATTACAGAACAAATTTTAAGAATAAGTAATAGAAGAGAAAACATGGGGTGCTTTTAATAATTGCATCTGTACCAATAGCCAATAGTTTTAATTTTTAAACCAGAACCTCTGTGAGGTCAAACAGTGACTGTGTTTACGTTAGTCTCTTAATTTGGATCTGGAATGAGCCTTGAAATGAGTTTCTGGATCATCTAAACCATTCTTGCTTTTGTTCATGTCACTGAGTGCTGTTGGAGTACCCAAGCTGTATTCCTTTTTAGATGAAACTAAATTGGAGAATGTGCTTCTGGAGTGCAATTTATGTGCTTCAGTGTCTAGTGTTCAGTCTGTCTACAGGACCAATTCAGGGACAGTTGAATTGACGTCTGAAATGCATGTGGTGTGGATGAAGTGCCCTGCACTAATAGCTTAACGCTACAGATCTGCTCTTGTTTCACTGCAGTATTTGCTAGGGCACACATTGCTACTATCGTATGAACAGAACAAATAAATTTTTGTCTGAGTCAAGCTGTGCTATACTTTGTTGTTTACTCCTGCAGCATAGGTTTCATAGGAGTTTCACATTCAGGAATTTACAAGTTTGTCATTAAAGGTAAAATCAGTGTAGGAGGGTAGCACAGAAAGAACTTAATGAAATGTGATTCTAGATGTTGTGGCAGAAAATACTAAATCTAACCAGACTTGATTGGACTTTTATTTTTTTCTTTTTTTTTCTTTTTTTCTTTTTTTTTTTGCAGGAAAGGACAGTCACAATTAGAAGACAAACTGTAGGAGGATTTGGATTAAGTATAAAGGTAGGATGATTTTTTGGTATATTATTCCATATCACACAAGAAAGTGTCTTTGTATATAGTTAATTTTAGTTTTAATGAGGACAAACTATATTTCAGAGGACTAGGAACATTAGATAGAATATATTCTAAAAAGTTTGATGCTATCACAATAGGGTAGCCAGCAGCTACACCGCTCTGTGGAACAGAAGGTAATGGAAAGATCATTCCATTAAGATTCAAACTAAACAGATCTGTAGTATGATTTCATGTGAGAGTTGAACAGTATTTGCAACTGCACAGACTGTACTTTTGTTCAGTAGCACTCTAATTTAAGTGGTTGTTAATGTTAATTTACAGTGGCAGGCACAGAGAAGAGCCAGTAAGTTCATAATCAATTCTCCTAGAAATAATACCATATTACTTCACTGCAATTCATTAGTTGGGCAGAAAGTGTTACCACTTTCTTATATTGTTTTCTGTAGATCAAGCAATTGCAGTAATTTGTCATAATAGTTACCTTACTTTTGCTTTCCTCAGTAAGAGTTAAGAACATATGGAAGTGAAAGTGATCCTTTTTGAGGGACAGGGGGGTTAATCATTTTTGTCCTCATAAGCTCTATGTGAATCTATATTGCCATTATTTTGAAAACCTTACCTTAGCTTAGAATCTCATTGTGGAGATTCAACATTATTTTATCTTCTTATCACAGCAGTCCTTAGCCTCAAGATGGCAATAGAAAAAAATCAAGTGTACTTCACATGAATGCAAAGAGCCTTAAATGATGCATATAAAGTTGAAGTACAGGCTTTTCTGTGAGCAGCTGCTAGAACTGACCTTATAAAAACTGACTCAGAAGAGGGATTAATGTCCATTTGTGTTGTCATTGATAAGAATATTGCTGAATAGAAATACAAATTCTTAAAATATATCTTGGCACACTTCCTTTTATCTATTTGATCCACTAATGACCTCTTTTCAAGGAAAACTAATTGCTATTTTGTAGTCAAAATTTCTCATGAGTTTAGTCAACAGGGTGCAGTGTCTTTATAGGTTGCAGTTCACTGAATAATTTTTCAGTAATGTGTGTCAGTTTACGATAAAGTATACAGGGGAATGAGGTTTTACTTGTTAGTAGTAAGAAATAGCTGCTAAGAGTAAATTTTGTTGTGGTTTGGAAAGCAAGTTTCATGAAGTTGAATAAAAGTGACTGAAATTGTTTGGAGTTTTTTTTTTTTTGTTATACTTTACAATAGGCTATCTTCTAAAATTAAAATTGTGAAAAGAAATCAAAATCACTTTGTGTTTAAGTATCAGGTAAATAGGAGAAACACAGTCACTGGCAAATAGAAATTATAAAGTGAATGGGTGGATGGTCTGTCTTAAAATAGTGGTATTTTTTTAGAGCAAAATATCCACTGTTTTGAACAAATTCCTTGGAAGATGCAAAAGGATTTAGAAATGCCAGTGTGACTATGGATTTTTCAGATTATGAGTTCAGCCTCGGAAGATATCTTTATGCATTCATGAAAGACCATATAAACTGAATAAGGTCCTATTTCTGCAAAATAATCTATATTAAAAGCTGCAACAGGATTTATGAATCATAGCATTAAATTATTAAACATAGCTTCTAGTTTTACTGCCAAGTTGTTTTGATCATAATTAATAAGGTAGTGGAGCTACATACATTCAGGCTTGAATAGACGTTTTCTTTTCAACTTTTAGAATGACTAATGACCAGATGAAGATTGTTACTTACTTTAACAGATATTGCTTCAACAGATCTCATCAAGTAGACAGATCTTTCTCAATAAAATGCATTCAAACTCAATCAGATAATATAGATTAGATAATGAAAACGGTGAGAATAATTCTGTGGTCTGCAATATTCTGTGTGTTTGAAGCAAGATGATTCTGCTTGTTCTAAGAGTCAATGAACTCATTTCCTATCTTGCTAGATTCTTCTTTTTCTTTCTTTCTTTTTTTTTTTTTTTTGTAATCCCATATTCTTAATAAATAAATAAATAAATAGATAAGCAATTGGATATTAAATTCTACCTAAAACAAAGTATTCTGCATAAGCTTATATTACCTATTTAACTTGTAGTAGGAAATAGAAATGGAACTTAAATGATGCTTTTTGTAGTTTTCTAGGCAAGCTGTGTGAATGCTCATTGACAATGACTTTTTGGGTATGCAGTATAAGTTCCAAAAAGTGTCAGCTTTCTCTTTTAAAAGGTACCAGTCAATCTTCTTGAAGATGAGTAATAGTTTGCTACTTTGTTTTGGTTTGTTTGGGAAAAATACTTAAAAAAAAAAAAAAAACATATATATATATATATATATATATAGTATATATATATATATATATCTCACAGGAAAAAAAAATTGTTTTGTGAAAATGACTTAAAGTAGGGATCTACAACTTACCCTTAAGGAAAGGCTGCTTTGAGAGCCAAACCTACTTCATATGTTTCATGAAGTTTATCTCACTGCGTGTAAGGAATTCTTAACGTACCCTAGCTTTATCTTTTCAGGATCTAGGAGATAGGATACAGATGTCTCAAAACAGAACCTGTAACTATTGAATTTGAGACCTAGGCAAAATGCTAGTGGTGGAGGAAAAATAAGGAAATTCCACACCTTATCCTGACTGATCACTTTCCCGTGCCTGGTGTTTGTTCTCATTTTTGGCACTCACATGTACACACTTATACAGAACTCATGACTCTGTATGTAAGTATAGTTGCTGAGATATCACATTTCAAGTTTCCAAAGTCCCTATGCCTTCCAGAGAAGAGAAATACTGCCATAAGGATATACCGGCAGCCAAATTTCTGTATACGTCTGGAAACCAAAGCAGCTTAGTTTTGGATGGCCAACTAATTTTTTTTTTTTTTTTTTTTTTTTTTTTTTTGTTCTTGTGCCTGTGAACCAGCTCCTGTACTTCTGTTGTTTCTTCTTTTATGAAAAAAACATCACTGATCACTTTGTTTTAAGACTTGGTCCCAAGTGCTGCAGTGCTTCACTTTCTGCAGTGGATGTGAAGTGAGCAGCTGTAGCTGATCAGCCATCATAAATTAACCATCCATGCTTGTTAGTCAGCTTGCTGAACCTTTGTATCTGTGTTAGGGCTTTTGGAAAGGTGCTTAAACCAACGAGCCATGCAGGCGAGGTGGGATAACTCACCTGATCTCCATTACTCAGCTGCCACTTCTTGATGCCAACGACTTATGCCTTAAGCACGATTCTTATTTGAGTCACTGCATGTTTTAGAGACTCAGTCTGGATTTAAAAGTTTTGAATAAATGTGAATGTAATGCATCCCCTGCTACTGCTATAAATGGGGCAGAGAACAGTACCAAAACCTTTCTAACTCAGCAGCAGTGCAGGTTATGTGACAAAGTCTTAGGGCTTCTGTGTTTGTTTTGGTAAATTTGTCTCCCATAACTTCCTGTATTACAGCAGTTCTGTGTCTTAAGTTACTTAAGGATGAGTGTTATCTGAACTCTTTCTTTCTGTCTTATCTGAGATGTGAGTTATAAGTGTACAGTGATTAATGCCTCTCACTTTAAAGTATTTGCTTTGAGATGAATTTGTCTAGTTTTAGCATTCAGCTGAAGAGTATTATCATCTGTTTTTTCGTGTTAATTTGATCGTCTGTTTGCTACCAGAAATCTTACATGAACAAGTCACTTTCTCTTAAATGTCTTGGTTTTCTTCAATTCATTGCTTTCTTTCTCTCTCTCTACTCCCCTACCCCCCTCCTTTTTTTTTTTTTTTCCCCCTTTTCTTTCTTAAGAGCAGACAGATAAGAAGTTAGTAAATTCAAAATGAAACTCCCCTGTAGTTTTTTGGTGATTTCTTTGTGGGGAGAAAACTCTTTTGTGTTCTTAGATGCTCCAACTAAGTTGTAAAAATCAGATTCATCTTAAAAAACTGCTTACAAAATTGATTTTTACACAAGATGTGAAACTAAGTCCTTTTAAAAATTGATTACAATCCACTCTTTGTAGGTTTGATAGCAGAAGTACTGTGTTCTGCTGTACTTCATTTTACTGAAGTTAATGGCAAAAGTTTAATTAAATTTGGAGCAAACCTGATCTGTCCACACTGCTCAGAAGGAATTATTTTCTCATTTCTGAAGCCCCTTTAAAACCCTCATTAATAAACCTCTGCGAGAAGAAACAGTTGTGGAGTAAGATTTAGAAATTGATGACTGCAGTGTAGTATTTCAGTCATTCATCACATCTCTGACAAGTTTGAGATGCGGAGATTTGACACAAGAAGCGGCAAAGTGTATGACTTATGAAAGAACATCATGTTTCTTAATGATTGTAGAGTGTAGTGTTCTTGGGGAAATAGTCAGTAGAAGTAATAGTTCATTAAATTAATTAAAGTTTGCAGGCTGACTTCTAGATACCAGAACTCTGAACTGAGCCATTTTCATGCTTCTCTTTTGATCATTCTTTATATGATGAACTTTATCACAGATTTACAGATTTTCTAAGATTGTTTGACTTCTGAATGTGTGTCTACATAAAATATCTGTAAAGGTACTGTTCTGAATAACCTTTGAATATATTCAGATAATTTTCTTCATATCCATTCATTCTGTGGTAATCTTTGTTATGAGAACATTTTCTCTGCATTTCAAGTGGAAACAATAAAAGTTAGAAAGCATTGTTTAATGTTGGAAATATGCAAATAATTTTTTTCAGGATGGTATCTCTGACAAAAGCAGATTTTATTCGCAATTGCAATGGTGGATGTCCTGCAAGCAGCAGCACCCTTAAGGACACAATGATGGCTTTTTGTACCTTGTTTCCCCCTTTGCCTATGCTTCTCCCCTGTTTCCCCATTGGCTGGGTACTCCAGGTTCACAATCTTGTCAAAGTTTACATTTGTTAATTGGTGTGTTATCTGGTGTCAGCCAGTAGCCATCCTGTTGTTTCCAAGATGTCTCAGTGCTCTTCTTGTCATATTGATAAGGTGATTTTCTTCAAAGTCTTTGTTAGACAAAGAGTACCGTGGGGTGGGGTGATGCCAGACCTTCCCAATGTCTCTTCAGGCACTTCCTTGTGCATGCCATGACTTGTTCTCTGGTTTGATCAATCTCGTGCAGGATATTCTCTCAATGTGTATGATAAAATATATATAGATACACTTATATACTGCACGTGCATTCCTAGGGAAGGTTCATCTAGAGGATAAGTAATGCAAACTATCAGAGACCACCCCCCCCCCCCAAGTAAAGTAGAAAGACTCCCAGAAAGAACTATGACAGTGGAGACCATGAAATAAAAAAAATATTACCCAATTCTAATGCAGAAACAACATTTGATTACCACATTTAATAGGTGAATTATCTAGCTTTTAGTTTACAAATCTATCCAGGTAAACTATTATATCAAACAGCGAAGTTGCAAAAGGATAATTAACACTAGCATGTTGTTGTCCATATTGTTTAATTGTTAGCATGTTACCTGCCATGATATTGGCTTATGCCAACTGGCATTTTGAGATAAGACTGTTCATGATCACAGATCAGAACAAAATGCATCACGTCATTCTATTTCAGTCTTGAAGAGTTTGTTCACATGGACATGAGCCATACTGTTAAGACAAAAGCAAAAAGGACCAGAGAAGTGGTTGTCTCTCTCTGCTTTGTGCTGGTGCAGTGTTAGCTGATCTACCACGTGTAGTTTTGGGCCCTCAAATGCCAGTGATTAAAGCTTCCCTTATTTCTTTTAATAGGACCATCTCTGGAGCTGGGCAGCCAGCTTTATTCTAGGCTAATACTTGCACAACTTTTCTGCTTGAGGAACAGTGGCAAAGAAAATTTCAGTTACAAAGAGCAATGGTAGAATCTGAAGACTGAGTCATTAAGCCTTCAGTAATGTTAACTGACATGTATTTGTCCCATCCACTGGTCTGGGATTGTAGGTGGAGAATAGATTGATAGAGTTTAATTTAAGAGTTGAAAAGTAGCCATTGTTTCCAGAGCTTTCAGAAGCAGTGTATCTCTTGAGCCTGTAAAGCCAGAATTCATGCACTTTTACAGAGAATCAGACATGTAGGAGTTAACGAGTCCTAAGACTAATTCAAAAGGGATCGCTTATAATGACTGGATGTGGTTGCAGAAAGGGGGCCATTTTTTTTCAGAAGTATTAAGAGATGCTTCTTCAAAACTGCAGTGAAATGGAGTTAGATACAGAAAGTGAGAGGACAAGGTGGTGCTCATTACTGTTTGGTTTAGGAATAACAGGAATTCCCCTCTTTACTGGAGAGCTGAGTTGAATCAGGGAGAGCACAGTTTACGGAGAGAAAAAGACCTTAGTTATGTTGAACTTTAATCACTGAACTCCTTGGCTGAACTTCAAATACCTTGCATAGTGCAATATTTTTGTAGTATATTGAAGGCTTAGAGAGGGTACTGATATTTGTTTATTTGAAAAATATAGAAGAAATTAAATGTGCATGTACCTGAGAAAAACTCTTAAAGTCTTATTAATTTAGTGATCTGGAACTGGTTATCTAAAGTGAAGCCATTGTTTGCGACTGCTGTTTCTATGGTGAAAACCATCAAAATATATTTAACAAGTTACAATGCTGCAAACTGTTTAGTTTCAATATGTGTGTAAACCTGACTGAAATTAAAGTAACATCATGGTATTCGTGGAGACCATGACCATCTGGAACATGTGCAGTGGCAGATATAAAAGGCTCTTTCTTTGTATAGATAGAATTCAAATACTTTATGAGACTGCCCATAGAGAAGGGAGACACAGAAGCATGTTTTCTATGGTTTTCTTTTCCTCTATTCCATAACAGATAAAGCTGTTGAGTGCAGGTCTCTGTTCAGTTTCAAACAATTGGTTCCTGCATGAAGAAGGGATCTGTGCTAATCCTTAGAACATCAAAATACCCAGGTCAGACCACTCAGTTCATTGACACAGAGTGCCTGGACCTAAGGAGTCAGTAGTTTTCAAACAAAAGAAAAATAAGCAAACATTGAACCAGGATTCTTAGGCAAAATGACAGTGTGGCATATTGTCATTTCTGATTATGTGAATTTGTATAGGTTATGTTCAGGCTGGCACTTTGGTGCTGACTTCAGAGGAAGAAACATATTTGTGATTCTGTTACATACTTGTCTTTTTCTTTCTTTGAGAGTGCTTTTCATTTAAGGTTTCTTTTTAATACCTTAAGCACCATAAACGTTTCCAGCTTCACTAGGATAAATTGAATGAAACAACAGCATTGAATTGCTGTCAACCTGTTGAATTATCATTCAACTTTCCTTTATTTTTCCCGCATTTATTGAACACCTACTGTTCCACTTAATGTTTTCTTTTTCTGTTCCTTGTTACTTACCCCACTGCTTTGCTCACTCTTTGTTCATGTGTGACAGAGATGGAAACAAATAAAGGCTGCTTTTGAGATGAAAGTCCAAACTTGCTTTTCTTGGGTTTTTGTTTACATGTTTCTTACCAGCATGAAAACTGAGTGTTCACAGCATGGTTGCTATTGTAGTGTGATGGCCATTCTGCCTTTGTAGGACACAGTTTCATACATTAAACTGTCCAAAAATTGTAGAAACGGATGTTCTTCAAGTCTTGTTCACTTCCTTGGCTAATTATGGAACCTGGGAGCTTCTTCATGAGAGGCAGTAAGAAGTAAGGAATTAATCCAAATCAATTCTATATTAGAATTAGGCATAGACAAAAAGAAGAAAATTTGGATTCAGAATTATTTTCTCAGTCTCTTTGAAACCAAGTTACAGAAAGGGTATAATATAATTTCAAACAAAAAGATATCTACAGTGACTCATGAGATTACTGTTTATTTTATTTTCAGGGTGGAGCAGAACATAATATTCCAGTGGTCATTTCTAAGATTTCCAAAGAACAACGAGGTGAGTGTCAGATTAATACACTATGTCTTGACATGCTCTTTAGAGCAGGGTGTTCTAAATCTTATTCTCTATAAATATACAAAACTCATATTTGGAGAAGTTTCTAAACATTGTCTTCAAACGATCTTTTAAATGTTCCTGTAAAGCATAATTTTTAAGGGAAAAAAAATAGGCATGAAAATATTTAATAACTGTAAGCAGTGCAAAAATAATACTTCTGTCTTTTATTTCTGAATGCTTATTGCCAGAAAGAAGTAGCATATTGAAAGTTTGATCATTAAAATATGTGAATGCAAGAGGAGAAGCACGTCTTTTTATACTGGATAGTAGGATAGTACTCAGGTGGGTAGTGGCAGAATCTTGGTTACCCTTTGTTATTTCAACTAGAATCATTGAATCACAGAATGGCCTGGGTTGAAAAGGACCACAATGATCATCTAGTTTCAACCCCCCTTCTATGTCCATGGTCACCAAGCACTAGACCAGGCTTCCCGGAGCTACATCCAGCCTGGCCTTGAATGCCTTCAGGCACATGGCACCCTCAAACTCTCTGGGCAACCTGTTCCAGTGTGTCACCACCATTGGAGCGAAAAACTTCCTCCTAATATCTAACCTAAACTTCCCATCTCAGTTTAAAACCATTCCCCCTTGTCCTATCACTGTCCATCCTTGTAAACAGCCATTCCCCCTCTTGTTTATATGCTCCCTTCAAGTACTGGAAGGCCACAATGATGTCTCCCCAGAGCTTTCTCTTCTCCAAGCTAAACAAGCCCAGATCACTCAATCTTTTCTCATAGGAGAGGTGCTCCAACCCTCTGATCATCTTAGTGGCCCTCCTCTGGACCCATTTGAAGAGCTCCATATTTTTCTTGTACTGGCGGCCTCAGGCCTGGGCACAGTAGTCCGGATGGGGCTTTGCAAGAGCCGAGTAGAGGGGGACAATCACCTCCCTCTCCCTGCTGGCCACCCCTTTTTAATGCAACCTAGGATATAGTTTGCCTTCCAGGCTGCAAGCACACACTGCTGGCTCATTCCCAGCTTTTCGTCCACCAGGACCCCCCAAGTCCTTTTCCGCAGGGCTGTTCTTAAGGAGTTCTTACACCTGGGATTGCCCTGGCCCAACTGCAGCACTTTGCGCTTGGCTTTGTTGAACCTCATTAGGTTCACATGGGCACAGTTCTCCAGTCTGTCTAGGTCCCTCTGGATGGCTTCCTTTCCCTCCAATATATCGACCACACCAGTCAGTTTGGTGTCATGTGCAGACTTGCTCAATTCCATTGTCTATGTCACTGATGAAGGTGTTGGAGAGCACTGGTCCCAAGGCTGAACCCTGAGGGACGCTACTTGCGACTGGCCTCCACTCAGACATAGAACCGTTGATCACAACCCTTTGACTGCGACCAGCTAACCAGTTCTTAATCCATCTAATAGTCCATCTTTTGAATCCATACCGCTCCAATTGAGAGAGAAAAACATATAGTGCTGCGGTCAGTAAACTTTTGCAGCAACTGATATTTAGCAAAATCAGTAGTGTATGAAGGCTTTAATCATGCATATTTTTAACTGCCAATGTTTTGAAGTTGTGGGAATTATACAGCATGTGCTATGAAGACGGGTTCTTGTTAGATGACTCGTGATGCACTCGATGAAGGATCAAGGTTGTGAATAAGTACTTCTAGAGTGTATTTATGATCTTTGTTATGTTTATATGTATTTGTGTATATAAGCATAAGCAAACTTGGAAGCATTTTCCTCCATCTGCTTACAGTAATTTTGGAATGCTGCTTCTGCACAACTAAAAAGCTCAACTAGAGAAAAAAGCTCATATTTGTCCACACACTGTAGATAAAGAAATGTACAGGGGAATCTTAAAATACTGAGATCTGAAAGCTGACCCTGAAATGTAGATGTGATGGTCGTGTGTAGAGATGCTGCAGTGTAGCAGAGAATGAGCCCCTAAGGAAAACTAAAAGGTTAGCCTTAAGAAGTGACTCCATTATTTTCAGTATAAATATAAGTGTGTAATACATAATAATGTGGCATATATTGCCTACACAAGCTATTAAAAAGCTATTAAGCACTGCAGGAAAAATAAGAAACATAGACAAAGTTTAATTGAGCACACTAAAGTGCATGCTGTTTCCTTTTGTTATTATTTTTTTGTTGTTTTGTTTTGTTTTGTTAGAGTGATGCATTATTTCTAACTTCAGTACATACTTGAGGTATAAACTCTATTACTGCTTTCAATAAAAGTGTTTAGAGAGCTAGTTGCAAGGGACGTCTCTTGTGTAGAACAAGGCTATGCAAGTGTCATCTCTGCTTAGTATCTTGGAAAATGCTGTTTAACCTAGGACCTGTACCTCAGAACGTTGGAGGCTTAGTTCTGCCCTTTTACCAATTGGATTCTGGTTCATTTTTTAGGCCTCTAAACAAGAATGTGATAGTTCATGCAATTCATACCAACCGTGTTGTATATAGGTAATTAAGTCATATGTAATTTGATAATAACATGTAAGCCCCATGTCTAAAGAGGAATATTGAGATACACGTTTCTTAAACATAAAATATATTAGAAATACTCTCATAATTCAAGAATCCATTGTTGTGTCTTGCCTAATAAGGCAAATATACCTTCAAATATATTATCATAATTTATGTGAATATTATTGCCAGTCTCTCATGTAAGGAAGTAAAAATTAGTTGGACCAAGTCAAGTTTCAGATTTTTCTAAACAGCATCTTCTGTGATGTTTCAAAATGCTATAGACAAATAATTCCATGTATTCTGTTAGTATTCCTTAGTTTTCATGTTAGAGATTATATAGTTTTTATAGACACATCCTTTATTATATTAATTTTGTGTTTATGAAATGCATTTGATAGCTCTGTAATATAACTCAATATTTTAAAATGTTAATTTTTGAATCAGTTTTGGTTAATTCCCTTATGACTTGGAGGGTATCTATTTTAAAAATCAAGTCCAGTATTTATGATGATTTTGTACAACACCCTGATTGTTTAGCTCTTGAACAGAGAAGGTGTTATCCAGCATAAATACACCACTGAGTTAATCAAAAACATAGGATCTACAGATTCTTTGATAAAATCTTACAAGTTAAAGGTTGTCTTTCATAAGTAGCTCTAGAGTTCTTTTCACTCAGAGCTTCTAAGAAATCATGTCTCACAGGTAAATAGGACCTAGTTCTGTAGTCATTCTGTTTTCAGAAAAGCCTGCCATACTTCACCATTATGGCCCAAAAGATGCTATACATTGATGGAAGATGTTTTGGAGTTTTGTTACTTCAGATGAAAGAACTCTTTCACTGAAACAATGAAAGCTGCTGTTTTAGGATTAATAAGATTCCAAATACCTACTTAGAAGCTACATATTGCTTTTTTTTTTTTTTTTTTTTTCTTATTTTTTTTAAAAGATTATGTAAAAACATAAATGAAATATAAATGTAAGTACAAGAAATATGGGATATTTTGTGCAAATTGAGTGAAAAATATGCTTTCTATTTTCAGCTGAACTTTCAGGTTTGCTCTTTATAGGAGATGCAATTCTGCAGGTGAGTGAACTTGGAAGTACTTTTATGTATAATTTTCTAGAAAAGTGAAATAAAATCTATACTTATGAAATGTAGAGTAAGTCTTCTCTTTATCTTTTTAATAACAGATTAATGGAATTAATGTGAGAAAATGCAGGCATGAAGAAGTGGTGAGCTTTTCTGTTTTTCAGTCTACATTTCGTCTATTATAGTTATTGAAATGATAGCAGTACACTGGTGTCAGTTGTATTATTGTTATTCCTAAAAAAAAAATACACTGTACCTTCTTGTTTAGAAAATCTTTGATCTTCTTTGTAGACTTGTTATAATTACTGTTCTCAGATTGTTTACTAAAGGTGGTTATTTTATTATGAGGATTTTAGCTGTATGTTTTCCTAACCATTCTTCTTCTGGCTTATAGCTATCAAATTTAAGTACTGCTAAACCTTTCTGGTTGTGCGAGGTCATTTTAATTTCAAAAGTCATAATTTGCACTATGTTGGGATTTATTTGTTGTTTTAAAACCTATTTAAAATCAAAACAAAGCATTAGTCTGGCTTCCATTCTCTGGCTTTCATTTATGAGGATGCTCTCCTCGTTCATAAGGGTAGAAATGAACAGGGTATTAAGGAGATTCCTCATAGAGGAGGCATGTGTATTTGAGATGTAAAAGTATTATATGTGTTATATTTGGCTGTTTGATTGTCCTTAAGGACTTTCAGAAGTAGGAAACACTAAGCTTGAGAAATAATGCCATGAATGGAAGATTACCAAAGATTACTAACGAAATTATCCTTTATTCCTGTTTAGGTCCACAGCAACTATAATTGTACAGCTCATTTTATCAATTCATAAATGCTCTGCATTTAATACTTTATTCTGCATTATGACAGATTGATAAATGTATGCCATTCAGGTATAGAAAGCATGGGTCGATGAAATTCTGACAAACAAATAAGTGCAGGCTGAAAGACAAAATGAGTGCACTCTTCCACCTCTCAGAATGCATTTATGCAGTGGTTTTGTGCTGGAAATTTGTGTTGCAAATCATTCATTATTCCTTAGAACTGTCAACTGTTTATTGGCTGGTTCGGCCCAGTTCCGTGACTAATGGAGCGGAGGGTTTTCACACAATCCGTGCCATCAGAAAAGGGAGACAGGGGACCCCAAAATAATTAAAAACAGTGGCAGTGATCTGAGGAGAAACAAACTAATTTACTAAATGTGGTATCAGAATGCAAGGTAACATGCTATAATACAATATAATTAGAAATGAAGCTATTAAATCAAATATAATGAGAGTGTCCGAAAGGTTGGAAAGGCCTCACCGTAACACTGAGGTGAGATGCGCAGATCAGTTGAGCAGCAGGGAAGAGAGCCTGGTGAAGAAGAGGACATCAGGTGACTTTGCTAGGGTTGTATCTCCTCCCTGACCTCAAAGCTCCCTGGAGTATGTAGTTCTTCTTCTCTTCTGGACAGGTGCCCAGAACTGGAGCATTAACAGTTTAACTCCCAATACACTACATGGTGTTATGATATGGAATACCGATAACCAAAAATCATAAAACCATGACAAGAAACCTTAATCCATCTTCTGTATAAACAGAATAACATTCATATTTGCCTTAGTTTTAAGCTTTGGCTGTGCAGTAGTGGCCAGATTTTAATCTTTTATGGGATTACCATAGTTTTGTTTTAATGCTTTAATATGGTAAATATCTCAATGGGATTTCAATGTGATGTTGAAATTTCAAGACATGAGAAAAAGATGTTAATAAAAGTGCAGACCTGCACACAAAAAAGCAAATTAAAACTGGTAAGTTTATTCAAATCTGCCCAAAAGGACAGATTCGCATAGAGTAGCCAATATCATTTTATTTCAAACCTTTTTAGTCCCACGTAATATTCTTCTCAAACTCCTTATAAATAATGTTATTTAAATAAGAATAATAAGAAAGCAAAGGTGTTTGCTTACTAGCTATGAATGTGCCATTGTGTATATACAAGTACTTGTACAAATAATAGTGCTTGGACAAATAATTTCTAAGAATGAAGAAATGATATTGGCCAATATTTAAGTAGTCTATGTAACATTTTTTAAACTAAGATCTGCAGAGGAAGAGATGTAAAACAAACATAAATGCCATATTTTGATTTTTTTTTTCTAGAAACATTGAATTTAGTATGATAATAGCATCACAGAATCACAATGGTTAGAAAAGACCTCAAATATCATCCACTCTAACTGTCCACCAATCATCAGTATTTCCCACTAAACCATGTCCCTCAGTACATCTCAGTGTTTCTTGAACATCTCCAGGGATGGTGACCACCACCTCCCTGGGCAGTTTGTTTCAGTGACTGACCACTCTCTCACAGAAGAAATATTTCCTGATGTCCAAAATGAATCTCCCCTGGCACAACTTGAGACCATTCTCTCTAATCCTATTGCTAACAGACCCCCTCCAGGATGTCCACCTTATTAACCCTCCCCCTGACCGTTATCCACAGAGACTCATTCCCATCACCAAGCTCAACAACATCAAAGCACTCTCTAACACAGAGAGCCACACAACCTCTCCTTCTTCCTTGTCTGTCCCTTCTGAAGAGCTTATCGCCATCCACTGCAGCACTTCAGTTGGAGCAATTCTACCTTGTTTCTGTAATGGCAACTAAGTCATTGTTTGCCTGCTGCACAGTGATGTGCATGTATGTGTAGTGAATTTGCTGAAAGTCTGATTATAATAAGTGCTGGTTTGTTAATGATAGATCAGGTACATTTATGTAGGATTTTAGGCACAGACCTGACTAAGGAGCAGATACAGAAACTAGTTTGCCAGCAGGAGTTACAGGTAGATTTTGTCTGTAACATGTTCCATGAAGCTCTTATAGCACTCCTATGCTAATCTTTATCAAATATGGGATCCATAGTTCTAATGTCAAACAGAGACATTAACAGTAACAGAGAAAATGCAAAGTATGTAGAAAGTATGTAGAACATAGTTGCTCTCAGCATGGATTAGAACTGCAATGAATATTTAATGTCCAATCCTTACCACATCTAGGTACTTTTGAAATGGCTGTGCAGGGTCCATAATGTTAGAGTTTTGTTTCGTTCTGATCATAATTCCTTTTTTTCTGGATCTAGTTAAGACTTAGCAGGTATCATATGATGAGAGAATATATTAACATTTTGAGTTGCCCTGATATCTTAGAAAATATTTACTGTGAAGCAGTAGGAAAGATTTTCCAGTGTGTAAAGCTGAAGCTTCCCATAGGAAATTCAGATGCGTATACATTATCTGTACTTGGAATGCAATGTGTGTTCATTCTTTTTCTTTTCTAGATCCAACGCTTATTGCTGTTTGCAAAAACATTCTAAGCAAATGTCCTATCCTCATAACTCAGTAATGAAAAATTCTGCATAATGATCAATGCAGCCTGTAGTATTACACCGATTACTAATCAGCCAACCATGGTGTTTCACTGTACTGTTTTTACTCTGCCACACAAATCAAACTATATTTTCATTTGAATTTCAAAAATAAGTCGTTTTATCAAATTAGTACAGTCTTTCATAGTAGGGAGAATCTCTGATATGCAGCAAACTTAGTTGACTTAACCTGTGTGGGCACCTATGGTATCCTTTGTTGTCTTCCATTAGTTACTAAGTCTGTTAATAAAGCATCCAGTGGAGCACAGATCGTGTTATTCCAAAAGTACATTACAATCTGAAGCCTGAATATGAAAAATCAATAGGTAGATAAGACTTATAAGGCTGAATATGTAAGTTTACTTGTTTTTTGGTTTAACTTACAGGAGATGTCTGCCCACTTCCCATTGGAATTTTCTTAGCTTTAGGTGAATTTTGAGCTTAGTTTTCCATTTGTAGAAGGTGAGGATATTATTTGTTATCATGAAAGGATATTATGAGTTTCTATCAAAGACTGAATGTCAATTTGTTGTTTTACTGGGGTTGTAAAGAATCCCATCTGAATACAGCAGAGCATTCCTTCACTCTTAGTACTCTCCTATGGTAAAATAAATATGTTCTGTCTGGTAAAATATCAGCATTGGAGGAGGTTGGAAAAAAAAGTTAAAAAATCATCTCTCAACATCATAGAGACAATTTGTCTCTAGAAGCACAGTCTCAAGTTGAATTTGGAAGTAGGGGATATCTTGTTATGTTTCTTAATTTAGATGAGTTGGAACTCTTTCTACTCTGGATATATATATATATATATATATATATATTTTTTTTTTTGCCATCTTTTTTTCTCTCTTTAGCATTTTGCAAGACTTTTTATAATCTGAAATTAGGAATAGCATGCATAGATAGGCATACACATTTAGGCTTCTGCCTGAGGAATTCGGTGCAACAGTGCATAAATCCAGTCACCAACAACGTCAATCCAAACAGTAAACACCTAGTCTTTTAAGTGCCTATAACAAAAATGGTTTCTCACCAAGTAAGTTACTTGAAAAGCGAGGTTATAGTCCAGGGAGAAGCTGATATTGGTAGATATAGAATCTGTGTAGGTATTTAAACTTTGGTGGTTTTTTTGATACAGCGAGGTATTCTGTGTAGCACCATATTACAATTCAAATATCAGCTACATTTTGAACAAGGCATCTTTTCTGTGAGTTTGACATGAAATGAGATGCCCATGTGCATTGCATTGTAGCTTTCACCCTTTTCCCTATATTCTAGCAGAATTTCAATTATGCTATATATTTCGTAAAGCCGATGGCATAGAAGCTGTAGTTACTTAACTGGAATTATGTGCAGGAATTATATGCAGTTGACAAATCTTTTTTTTTTTTTTTTTTTTTTAATCAGTTTTCATCCAAGCTGATTTTTTAAACTTATGATGAATATCTTCAGTAATTTTTTTCATGTTTTAAACAGAATAATAATCATGTTGCATTTATAAGGCAAGAGATGAAACCGAAAGATATTTAGACATTGAAGCTGCATAGTCAGCACTTGTAAGAGGAGAGCTTGATCATTCCTCAATAGTTTTCTTCATATGAAGAGGCCAAGATGTTAGTTATTCCATACTGCCATTCTGTTTGAGACCTGTGGTTATAAGAAAAGTGTTAACCTCACCTCTTTTACCATGGTATAATTAATGAAAATATCTGTAACAACATATTTATAATTTCCTTA